AGTAATTTGGAACGGGTATTTATCCGGCCCAGATAGGTAAACTAAAAGTAATTAGTTGTGTAAAATTACAATTTATATAAATTCTAATTTGTTCAGTTGAGGGGGGGCTGCCAATTTGCTATTTTATCGGTAAGACATGAATTTAGAATTTGGAATTTGATATTTGGCATTTGGAATTTGGAATTTGGCATTTGGAATTTGGAATTTCGCATTTGGAATTTGGAATTTGGAATGAGCCTTCTGGGCTTTCGTACACTTGTCCGTTTAATAGTACGTTCGGCACTAGATCGATGATACGTTTTTATACGCCAACATTTTCACATCGTCTTTGTGGACACTCTACAGGCCATAACTTGAAATATAGGTATATATCCCAAAAATCTCGGTTCTTTTCGATATTGTATGGCACCGTAACTTCCTGGATTATGGCCCCTGATTGAACAAAAAAAACCGTGTTTTCAGCCTGTGGAACCTGTACAGGTCACAATTTTTATTTGATTTTAAAAACCGTTCAAATATATCACCGTTACACCATAATGACATTGACAGTTGAGTTCGAATTTCATGAATTAGTCTGTGCCTTTGATCCTGTATCCTGTCACTTATATCAGAGTATATATTAAATTTCAAAAAAAAAAATTGGACGGCTAGTGGCCTCCACATTAACCACAGTACTAAGAATATTATCAATACACGTATCTAAATCATTTTCGTGAGCAGCCTTTCCATCACAACGTTAACGGCTAATATCCCCATATCAAGAACATCACAATTTTTATATCGGGTACATTACCAAATGTAATCAGTATCCAAATGCTTATCACATATATTCTCATTTGTTTTCAACTGTGTTATAAACATGTCGTCTCCATGTCGAATATTTTGGACTGTCTGTGTATGATTGCATTGTATGACTGGAGTGTTTTGTCACATGCATTCATGAGCATGTGCATGTTGTTTTAAGAATTTTCTGGCTTGTTCTTTTAGAAAACTATCCATTATTGTTCTTTCTATTTACTTAATGGACAGTCTGAGGCCATTATCCATCACATATTGGTGTATCGATATATCGACACAGCAGAAAACCACCGAGATTAAATTATCTAGTTATTTAATTTTGATAGAAATAAATAAACCAATGGCTGCCAGACAGGATACGCCCACGTTTTGCAAGAGAAGGATAGAAAACAAGCTAAAAACAAACGCGATATTTTGTACAATCGGAGGCAATAATCCATAAAGTTATGGCCTGAAATGTGCAAATATCAAAAGGGACAGAGATCTTTGGGATATAAAGATATGTTTTAAGTTTCATCAAAATCGGATAAAAATTGTGACCTCTAGAGGGTCCACAACCTTCCGTATTACACACTTCTACACATTTTGCATACAAAGAGCGGCCATTTTGTCGGGCAGTTTCATTTCGATTTTCCCGAAATACGACTTAACCTTCATTATGGTGGAATAGTGATGTATTTAAACGGTTTTTAAAATCGGAAAAAAATTGTAACCTCTAGAGAATCCGCAAGCTAAAAATGCGATTTTTCGAACAATCAGGGGCCATAATCCAGGAAGTTACGATCCTATATGCGCAAATATTGACAGGAACCGAGATCTTTGGGTTAAAAACTTGCATTTCAAGTTTCATCGAAATCGGATCAAAATTGTGGCCTCTATAGGGTCCATAACTTTGATATACCAGATGTTTACACTATTTGCGTCAAAGGGCTGGCCATTTTGTCTGGCAATTTTGGTCTGATTTTCATGAAACTCAATCACACACAACATTACGGTGTAACGGTGATATATTCGAACGTTTTTTTAAATCGTATAATAATTGTGACCTCTAGAGGGACCACAAGCTAAAAACGCGATTTTTCGTACAATCAGGGGCCATAATTCAGGAAGTTACGATTAGATATGCACGAAAATAGGAAGGAACCAAGATATTGGGGTTATAAACATGCAATTCATATTTCATCAAAATCAGATGAAAATTCTGACCTCCAGAGGGTCCACAACCCTGATACACAATATTTTAACACTATTTGCGAACGAGGGGCGGCCATTTTGCCGTCAGTTTCGGTGTGATTATTAGATTTGGGCACTATACTTTGCCACCCTCCTCCCCCCACCCCCGCGAACACGCGCCAGAGTCAGATTGACGTTAGTGCTCTATTAAATTTGCACGTTCAACAATGTCGTTAAGGTAATAAAGACAATTTGTAATGGATTGTAAAGCAAATGAATTTGACAGTTCATTTGTTTCCTTTATACATTAATTTTACATTATCATTAACAATATTTTGACATCGTCATTATGGATATTTTGTGATATTCTAACATTGTCTGTGTGGACGTATTTGAATATATTGCACATAATTTGCCATACTGGAATAGAATTTCTGGTGTCTATACCCGCTTCAGCCTAAGGTGATATCACAGTCCCAGCTGCGCACAATCTGATTAAAACACTGATCCTATTTCGGTTCATTTTTTATACTTCAAAATTTTGTTTTACTTGTCGTTACTATACTAGGTGGAGGCTAACGAAAGAATAAAAAATAAAAAACGAAACGAAATATAAATTTGTATTTTAATCAGATTGTTATGCGCACACCAGTCCTTAATATACAGTTTATGGATATATTGCACATATTTTGCAATATTGGAATATAAATTATGCAGAAATGTTATACTCCCACCGCTTATTTACTTAGATAAGGGGTTTACGCCCGCTTCCGCTGTCGGGTTATATCGCAGCCCTTAGCCGCATACATTAGCCCATAATATACATTCGGTTAGGCATATATGTATTACTTAAACGGAAAGAAGCATGGGTTTGTGTGGCAACGAAATACAGACCAACTATTTCTTTAACACAAGGTACAATTTTATGGATACACAATTACTGAGTTTGATACTAAGCGACGTTTCGACGAGGATATCAAGCAAATGATACAAATATGTGAATTGTGGGCAAATATATATACAGAATATGCAACAAAGATGTATATATATTTGCCCTCAATTCACATATTTGTATCATTTGCTTGATAAAGACGAGAGTATCCTCGTCGAAACGTCGCTAAGTATCAAACTCAGTAATTGTGTATCCATAAAATTGTACCTTGTGTTAATAATGTTCAATTACTAAATGCCAATCAAAGAAAACTATTTTTTTATTCCAGAGTTAGTAACCTGTCAACATTTAAAAATGGGAATCAAACACTATGCTGTTGACGAATGACCGGAAACCGATTACGAAAAATGCGGGATTGCGATAAAGATAGTGGCCTAAACGCAGGGTTGGTTGTAGAAATTGTGGGGCCCAATTTGGGATGCACGAAGTTACAGACACCTCTTCGTGTGTATGCTGGGAAGGTGTACTTCCAGTTGTCGTCAAGACCTATATTTTAACGTCAACGGGACTGGGATAAAGGTTTCTAAACGTCTTTCACGCAGAAGTTAATAGCCGTGGTTCAGTACTCGGTGGCAGTTGGAATTCGGTATAAGAGTATACCTCTATCCGGGCAAAATTTCCCTTATAGCACACTGAATGCATATGCCCGTCTCCATTATCCCGATCGGAGCTGAACGGCAGGACGTTAAACCCCATTTCATTTCAGTTCATTTCATTTCTCACATGACTCCTTTAAGATGGTAGATGAAGTCGATAACCTCTGAATACGGACCACAATTCATAATTTGGTTCCCGACAGTAGCCCTTGTTCATTAACCCGGATGTAGCAGAAACGTAGGACGTTAAACCCCGTTTCAGTCCCATTTCATTCCAGACAGTAGGTCCTATTTGTGATAAAATGCCAGGTGATTAATTGGAAAGATGCTCAAGAAATTCTTAAACAACAAGATTAACTTGTTATCATTGTCATTTCAATAGCTTGTTCTTATCTCTGTGTGGGGATCACGTGGCTAAGTGGGTAAGACGCTAGCTCGCTAGCCTGGAGGTCGGGTGTTCGATCCCTGCATTGGCCGAGAAAGTTCATCCAGATTTTCCGGCGTGGTTCCCCCTTGTCAGTGATGCAGGACGGAGGGCCTGACAAGGATAGCTGTCTAGTCCTTCGGATGAGACGAAAAACCGAGGTCCCGTGTATACATTGGAATGCACGTAAAAGATCCCTTGGCAGTTGGAATTCGATATAAGAGTAGGCCGTAGTGCCGCTGTCCGGGCAAAATTTCCCTCATGGCACACTGTATGGCGTATGCCCGTCTTCATTAGCCCAGGTTAGGAGCAGAACAGTAGGACGTTAAACACCATTTCATTTCATTTCATTTCTTATCTCTGTGCTGAATATAATAAAAAAAAATAATTACTAAGAAAATAGCATGCCGCCTATTATTAGTTTTGTTGATGTATCTTCTCACTTCCATATTCAAACATCGACCTAACACCAACTCGTCCATTTCTTGTTGATGGTCAAAATCAAAGTATTATTGACTGATGTAGCCTAAAGTCGATTACGAAAACAACAGATATATATATATACCTCCGGGGTCCGGGCATGTGGTAATTATGGGGACGTGGTACGTCAAAAAGTCTATTGGTTGATAAATACGATGCTAATAGTTAGTATAGAAAAGTCGCTCTTCACGTAACGTAAACACCATCTTTTGTAGAATAAGAATGACCAAGGGCTTAATCCCGCCAATTTCTCCACCGACAGTTCGATTAGCACGTGCTCAGAATCATTCTAGCTGGCATTTCATTGCTTAGCTGTATTTATGGTAACGGAGCTTCCCAATACTCAAGAAGATTCATTAATTTTGCTGTTTGATTACCCCGCGAGAACCAATCGATTCAATCAATGAATAATTAAAGAAGCGACTCGGCGGCCATCTTGACAGGTCGTCTGCGCAAACAGGCCGATATAACCAATCATTTGGTATGAACCTACTGACGTCATTGCTTAGTCCGTGGAATCACGTTCCGCAATATCGATTTTGTTCCAGAGCGCGTGAAGTTGAAAGCAACGAAATCTCCCTAGCTTTTTACATCTTCTTCTGGCACTAAAACACGCCATTTTGACACAGTGAATATGTAGCGTCGACAAAACAAGCAAAGTTTTCCATTTTTTATCGGTGAGTGAAAAAATTGAACAACCATGAAACCAACTGAACCACACCCGCTTCACCGGAAATGTAAGTATTATTATTAATTACTGACTTATTCACACTACATAAACAATATGGTTTTATGTATGCCTTGGATACATATTAGAAATTACCACTATTGTTTAGGCGCAAATTGTACTCATTAGCAATACATGTATACATACTTTTAGTCATACTTATCAGATGGTCAGAAAATTTAATTGTAAAATTATATGTCAACTGAATGAAAATCAAAATGACACTATTACTGTTATAATATTTACTATTAAAATAAATATGGTATTATGAAATAATCATAAAAATACCCTTTGGCATGTGTTAATCTATTGAATTTGAATATATTTAACAATATCCAAACTAAAAAGTTCCTCTTTTTTTAAAAACGAAAACCCCAACATTTTCGCTTTTGTTTTCATCGTGTTAGTATAGTGAAACCATTTACGATTTAAATAAATTACTTACAAAATCTCTCCGAAACCCATTGGGGTGCTCTTGTCGGGAAAAACTGGTTTAAAAATAAACATTAAAATTTACCTTACACAATTTTTCTACACGGAATATTGGGATTTGAGAAGGTAATTATATGAAAAATTTTCCCAGAGAAAAAATAACATAAGGTGAATATGGGTAGAAAAGAAGAAAGAGTTTGTTTTCAATGAGCTATGCTACGACAAATATGACAGTGAACCATAGACTATGAAACTGACAAAATGTTCAAAATATTGTGTACAAATTCTAAACATTATACAGAGAAATCGAAAATTCTTGTGAAAGGTATGAAAATAAAAATTCTTGTGAAAGATATGAAAATGAAATGGATTCAATTGAAGTGTTTTGACTGTCATAATATGTCGCAATTTTGCAGCTGTCTCCCACCTCCACTTATTCTATCAGTTGGAAATACTATCCACAGAAGTTATGGTGCACAATCCTGAGAGATAACATAGTTTATCATGCGATTGTCACCCAGCACAATCTCATTTGTTACATCAGTGGCAAGATAACAAACATGGTCACGAAGAAATTGATCAACAACTCTAGAGGATAATTATGTTGGTAACCGGAGTAGTAACTGCGTAATTAGATCTTTATGGCTTTTTGTATATTCAAAGGTTCTCTAGAATGTCTTGAGCTGGTCCCAGTAATCTTCTTATATCATCAAATGTCTAAAGTTAATGGAAAGCTATTATTTAAGTCTCCGGTTCATATACTTATGTTAAAAACACCTTATTAAACGTAATATACAATCTATCAACATTTTCCTTAAATGTCACAAAGGTAAGACCATAAAAATAAAAAACTTAGTTACCTACTACCTTAGTCTCGAATGTTCGCGGATAGAAATTCATTCAGACTATTGCAAGAAATTAAAATATGGCGGCGTCACGAGACCACACTTATGCCATGATTAGTGATTCGAATAACTTTGGGACGTGTGTGCTTTTAGGAAAAATACCTTTTTTGTGTATAATTGAATCAAAGAATTAGATGAAATAGGGCAAAAAATAACCAATAAACTGACCCCCTGGAATATTCTGTGTTTAGTGATGTAGATGTTGAGCATTTTGAGAGATGACAACAAAACAGAATACGTCAACATCCACTGCAACTTAAGACTAACATAGTGACATACATTGGGTTGTGGCAACAGCTATCCTGCCCAATCCTATTTGATATAGCAAAAATCTTTGGCAATTAATCTAAATTGCCCAACCCCACCCCTTTTACATTAGCATGTCACATCCAACAGTATAATCAAATTACTGATGTAGAATCAATGGCCTCATGATCTCCCATGACGCACACCGCCAATAAGCACTACATATCTGCAAATACTCGTCTAACATTACATTAAATTTCATTTACATGTACGATAAACCTATAGCAATAGCAACATAACATATAAAAGTCGATATTAATATGATTCCATTAGGAGATATTAAGTAAATTATATGAATATTTGATAGCTACAGCATAATGTGTAGAATATGATCGGAATCCCAATGTCTTTAATTATGCTTGTGTTATTTTCTTTGTGAAGTGAGTATCTTTCTACATTACACATTTGAGGTACACAGATAGAACCAAATTTGAGATATACATGCAATTGATTTTGTATTGGTCTGTCGAAAACAAACCCAGTTTCGCTTAAACATACATTATGCAAGAGCTAAATCTGCCTATTGCCGGTCTTTCTTTAGGCCTGAGATGTTATCTAAATTATTAATAAGACATTAATTAACTTATCCAGACCATGATCAACTCTCGATGTCATCGCTATCCTGCGATGTTTATTGGATTAGGTTCCGATTTGCCGTCGGCTTCCATTCATGATTTCATCATTAAATGGATAATAGAGACTATGTTTTTTTTATCGTACCAAATTTAGTAATGACGTTCGAGGCTACGCCGAAAATTCAATCGCCAAAATCTCGCTATCCTGCGATGTTTATTGGATTAGGTTCCGATTTGCTGTTCGACTTCCATTCATGATTTCATCATGAAATGGATAATCGAGACTATGTTTTTTTTTATCGTACCGAATTTAGTAATGATGATCGAGGCTAGGCCGAAAATTCAATCGCTAACATCTTGGTCCAGAATGGATCAATTTGACTGAAATTTTCAGCAAATTCCCTTTACATTATCTGGTTTTTAACTATTATAGTGAGAACTGCCAACTCTTTATCTAATCTCCCATAATGTATCTTTAATATTGCGAAATGAAAATGTATAGTGTTTTAGAAATTTATCCCAGCAAAAAAGCTAAATCGAAGAGATTACACACTTGTAATTTATAGGCATTGATCGGTGATGCCGACGAGGAAGGCTTATGCTTACTCTTTCTACGTGATATGACTTCTTATTGGTGTCAGACATTTGTAGTTAACGACAATGGTTTTAAATCAAAGTCAAGGCTAGAAATAACGATAGGTGTGGTCCGCGTTGAAATGGTGACATAGCTGTTTCACATTTTTAATGAAGAGATGCACAATGCTAGGTACTATAATATATCACGCCATTTCTTTTCCTCTCGAGTTTGTCCCAGACACATTAACACAGAACCAGAAAGTTAATCAGTTAGAAACCCAACTCGTTATAAATGACATTTACATATTCTAATCCCGTCAGTTCATTTTACCCATTTCTGATAATGGTGCAGCACATCTTGAAAATGCCATACATCGTTATATTCAGAGCCACGATGACATATAACCCTTGTAATTACGAACACGACCTCAATCAAAACTGCCAATAATTCCGAATAAATGGATTTTGCTAAATATTTTAGAATTTTTAATATAATGTTATGTCCATTACACATTAGTTATCGAATGGAAGACAGCGTTGAGGCTGAATTACATGTTTGTTTGGTCCTTTGGGTGGTCCCCAGTTGACAGTTAAATTTCGGAAAAGAATAGGCGGGGAAACATAATACATTCAACTACAGAAAATGAAGTATCAGATGCAAGTCTCAATTAATTTTGTTCCAGAAAAAGTGTAGTATATGAATGGTATATGAATTTTTACATAATTATAATTTTCATTTTCTATAGTTCATCCTGCGTATAGATAAGAAGTGTAATTATTTTTTGAAAAATGTTTCAGGATCAGGACCAATGTGTTTAAGATTAACTTGTGCGGATTCGTGGTAGATCTATGCCCTCTGAAATAATACTAAATCCCTTATTAGCCTCAGGCGGGTTGCGTGGTCGAATGGTTAACGCGCGTGCGTTGGATCATACGTTCCGTCACTGAGTCAAGTGGCGTAGTTTCAATTCCCCGCTTGTACGTGACAAGGCGTAGGATCGCCTGTCCAATCTCGTGGGGTTTCTCTGAGGTTCTCTGGTTTCCTCCCACTGCTAAACACCCCTACGCGCAAGCGAATTATTGAAATAAAATTGAACCACGTGTTAGTCCCGAAATGACCTACTCTCTCTCTCTCTCTCTCTCTCTTAGCCTCGGACCTCCAGGGGGTTGGGGGGGGGGAGGTGGGGGATTGTAGATAGCCGAATGGTTAGCACGTGCGCGCTGTATCATAAGGTCTGTCATTGAGTCAACTGGCGTGGTTTCGAATCCCCGGTTGTACGTGACAAGGAGTAGGGTCGCCTGTCCAACCTCGTGGGTTTTCTCCGGGTCCTCCTGTTTCCTCCCACTGCTAAAGACCCATACGCGCAAGCGAATTATTGAAATAAAATTAAACCATACGTTAGTCCCGAAATGACCTAGTTTGTGTTGAGTGGACGTTAAACCCCATCTCTCTCTCTCTCTGACCTCTAAATCCCTTGTGAGCTTTGGTTTGAAGAATACGTAATTAATGCCCAATATAACATCACAGTTTCATTTTGTACGTGATAAATTTGGATTTGTTTTGTATAGAACAGTCGGATAATTAGACATTTGTCTATTTGATATTTCCACGCCAGATGGTGTACACGAACAGATTAATGTGGACATACGCAAGAACCTTATAGATGCCTTTGTTCTAGAGTGCGAACAAAGGGAACATTCTGTGTACTTTAAGATTTCTGGTTTGTGTCTTCAGATATTATATAATCAACAAATGCATAGCTGAAGTATAGAAATATTCCTTAAACTAAATTATTAAATTTCGATCCAGTTTTAAACATTTCTTAAAAAATTATTGGACATCTTGTTAAGAATGGATAAGTTGTAGAGTGTCCACTTGCAGTTTACTCTAAATTACTTTTGAAAAAAAAGTATTGATATTAAATAAAACCATTATTTCTTGACAAAACACCAATATTGTACAGAATCTAAGGTAAATACACGACCATATTCGTCTTGTTCAGACACACAATTTGTCTTTATTCTCCAGTGGAATTAAGAAATGTCATTTTACAAAGAACGTTATAACTCAACGCCTACATACGTACACGAACGACACTTCTGTTAATACCGATAACACAAAACCAATCTGAGTACATAAAGATGGACAGCATTTATAGCACACATTTTATTTAGATTTAACCTTTTCAGTTTTTATTATAACCTTAGTTCAAACA